CTTATCCCCTTAGCACCTGCCAGATTTATGTCCCATCTCTCCCACCTTCATGTCCCTACTGAGTGCAGTTTATGCTGCCCGTGTACTCATGGGTATGTGGCTATCCAGTGGAGTGTGGTCACCCTTCCAGAGGCCACACCTGTAAAGCAAGCTGACTCTCCTGTCCCCGACCGCTTTCCGTCTCGCCGGCAAGAACGACGCGGGAGGACAAGTCAGGATCCTTCTGCAGCAGTTTATTTCATAAGCCTCTTACATAGCATACTAAGGATGAAGACCGAAGACGCCGAGAAGCGGGAGAGCGGTTGCTTATATAGTCTAAAGGTCCCATCTATGACGTATAAGAAGCGGATTGGTTGCTGGAGATCACGCCACGGGAGGAGGCGAGGGAGAGCAGGCTCTTGTGCACGCCCCTTATGGGCGCAGCAGGATGTTTACTGTTAAGAAGGTCCGGATACCGGCGCCATCTTGTAATGGCGGCGGAGGCTGTGGCTCTCCACACAAGATCCACCCATCAGTGATGTTGGGGCTTTCTCTAACCGTGTGCTCATTGTAGAGAAATTCCATTTCTTCTTCCTTGTGGAGCCTAAATGAAGAAGCGGTATGCATTGTACCATAGGAGCAGCACATCCTTGAGGACATCCCTCACACCCTCCTCTTTAAAGTGAAGGTTTTCTACTCTCACCATAGGGGAATTGATCAGACACAATCTGAGGGCATCAGCACCGTATTTACTGATGATGGAAACTAGATCTGGATAGTTCTTTTTCCACTTGCTCATTTTTTAGCCATCGCTTGCCAAGATGAGTCCATTCACAATCACATTCTTGAAAGTGGCTGTCTGAAGAGAGCTGTAGCCAGCACCAGAAGGGTGTAAAACCATCTTCTGGTTTGATTGATGCCTTCGGCAAAATGACTTGTGTTGTTTTTTGTTTTGGTTTTCCAAGACACAGGGAAAATAGAAATGCATTTGAAATGGAGACATTAGAATTCCAAGTACACCCCCATCTTCTGATTTCCTTTATAAAGTAAGTGGAAATTGACAAGAAGAATTTTTTTAACATTTTATTATTTTTACTTTATGTGTATGTGTATTGCCTGCATGTAGGTAAGTGCATGTAGATAAGTGTCATGCAATGCCAGAAGAGGACAGAAGAGGCCGTCAGATCCCCTGGAACTGGAGTTATGGACAGTAAGAACAGCCAGTGTTCTTTACCACTGAGCCATCTCTCCAGCCCCCAAGAAGAAAGTTTTAAAATAGTAAGAATAATTCCTCACTACACTTCTGTCCTAGTTTGTTTCTCCATTGCTGTGACAAAATACTCTGACCAATGCCAACTTGGGGAAGAAAGGGTTTATTGAGCTTACATCTCCCAGGTCACAGTTCATCTGGGAGCCCACGATAGGAACTCAGGGAAGGAACCTGGAAGCAGGAGCTGGAGCACAGAACATGGAGGAACTCTGCTTACTGGCTTGCTCCCTTGGCCCCTGCTCAGCCTGCTTTCTTATGCAACAACAGGCCCACCTTCCCAGGGGTGGCACCACCCACAGTGGGCTGCGCCCTCCCATATCACTCAACAATCAAGAAGATGCCCCACAGATATGGCCACCGGCCAGTCCAGTGAAGGCAATTCCCCAGTTGGGGCTCCTTCAACCCAGGTGAGTCAAGTTGACACTAAAGCTATCCAGCACAACTTCCTAATAGCCAACACTTATATGAATTCTATTAAACCTTGTACTTCAAATATTTTAACAGAAGTAAATCAGAACAATAAACTCCTTTCATAACAAAAGTAGAGTTCCCCAAAATCTCTTTGACTTAAGTTACTAAAAATCCTTTATTTGCCACAAAAACAATCTGGCATAGTCGATCAAGATGGAAAATTTTGAGAAGAGAAAACTTAATAAGCCTAACATATACATATTTTGAAATATGGAGACGTTTGTGGGTTTTCCCACTGGTGGCAAATTAGAAAACTCTTTCACTCCATTTTTACAAGGTAGGGCTTAGAGAACATTCTACAAAACCATCTTTTCAAAATTTTGTTCTACTTTAGAGTGTTGCATTAAATATTGATCTTAAAGGACTTTTGGTATCTAAGAGTCTTTAAAACAAGGATTCTTCAAACAAGCAAGATTCCTCTGAGGACACTTGAGGCATCTGCTGGTTGAAGTCCAGTTCCAGTTCTTCAGGCGGGGGGATAGCTAGTGCCTCCACAACTCCGAAGTCTACATGGCTATTCAGTTCAGCCAGAGAGGTTGAGTCATCATGACAGTATCAAGAAAATTATATTTTTGACACTTGTCATTTTCTAGATTTTGCTAACTGAAAGAATCATATGGGTCTAGCAAGATGGTTCAGCAGACAAAGACATTTGAAGTCAAGACTGATGACCTGAGTTTCATCCCCAAGACCCACATGGTAGAAAGAGAGAACTGGCTTTCACAGGTTCCCCTTTGACATCCAAACCCCTACTGTGGCATGAATACATGGGTACATGCATGAGCACGCATGTACACGCACACAGACACAAATGAAAAAAATGTAATAAAGAATTTTAAGAACTATCTGGAGAACTTACAAGAGGAAAGCTAAGAAGATGCTAGATAAATCACTATAATAAATCACTCATAAAAATCTATGATCCCATGCCTAGAGCAACAGAAAGAAGGCTTCTAAGGGAAAGAGAGGGTCTCACCAATAACCAATGTGTCAGAGCATACAACTTCAATGCACAATCTTAAACAGAGAACCTTCACAGACAGGGAAGCAGCAGCTCCAGTTTCTCAGGTTCACAACTCAGTGGCTGGCTACATGCCCAAGGGTGCAGCTATTTAAACCCAAAGCTGGAGCAGCTCTGCTGGGCCACACTGGACCCTTGGTGCTGGCTTCTCTTAGGCTGATCCCCAGTGATGCTGCACATCCCCAGGCCATCCACTAAGCCGAGGGTGAAATGCTAGTACTGTGTTCAGTACAGTAGGATGTGACCACCAGGAAGGAGGGACAGTAGCCTCTGCCCAGCTCGCTCCAGGACCCACCAAGCCTGGGTTCCAACCCTGACTTTGCTGATGTTATTGTATATATGGCAGTAGTCAGTTTGAAATGTTTTCTGTTTGTTTCTAACAAGTGTGTCTCCCACAAGATAATGCTTGCACTTATACATATACAGTATCATTCAGTCCCTAATCTTGGATTTGCCGTGAGAGAACTTAAAGTAAAATGATGGCTAGATGGAGGCTTCAAATTGGCATTTAATAATCTACTAACCCAAATTTTCAACTGCATTAATTCATTGGGACTCACAACAACTTTCTTCATTAGATTATTAGTTTTATCCATTCAACTGGTGAAAAGCTTAGAGCTACTTAGCTGGAAGATCCGATTTTGATTCCAAACCACTCTAATCTCAAAGTCCTTTCTACCATATCATAGGCTCATCTGTTATTCCAGAGAACTGAATGCATTTTTTTTTTAATTCAAAAGTTGTCTTCCAAAAACTTTAGGAGTTCTTAAGAGAAAGATGAACTCCAGTATGTGTGTGAGTTTATGAAGAAAAAGCAAAGTGACAAGCTCCAGGGCTTTGTTTGGATTTATGCAAAAAAAAAAAAAAAAAAAAGTCTGGTTTTTTCTTATTATTTGGACTCACAATAACCTGCCCCCTTCAGATATGAAAGCAGATGCCTAGTTCTTTGGCTTGTGAAAGCCATGATTTCTAGTATCTTACTTCCACACTGAGACCTTAAAATGTGAACTCTCAATGATTATTTTCTATTCCAGTGCACGGCCAAGTCATGACATGTCCATTCTCTACTTAAGAAATAACTGCAAATTTCTTGCTGAACTGTTTTTCACATCCTTGACCTGGTTTCTGGATATCAGAGTTTGCAAATGTTTGAGCAGGCAGGAGCTGTGGTGGGCTCATTTCCCCCTTTTGTGAGGAAGTGCCCATCTGATTCCACCTTCATGCCCCTTACTTTGACTGTTATAAGTGGTATCTCTACATCAGCTCCTATACCAGGACATGCCTCTTCACACCTCCAGGAATGTTTTCCCAGCTGACAACCTAGCTGGAGTCACTTCTGAAACAGGGAGAAAGAGGGTCCCCTAGAGGGTTCTTAGTCTCCTTCATAAAAGAATTTAAGAATGGACCCAAACGGGAGCTTTTACGATTTTATTAGACTCTTAAAGAAAAATCCTCAGGGCAGATGAGCTGGTCATTGTGGCAGCTGCCTTGAGGAGGTGAATAGTGGGAAGAAGTAAAGAAAATCATGAAGCAATGCAGGTTTAGAGCCTGCATGGAGGTCAGACATGTGGCTGACTCACAACCACATGGCTGGAAGAAGGAAGCTTTAGAGAAAAAAAGTGAAGAAACACAAGATGCTAGGGGCAGCCCAAAGCCTTAAAGAAAGCATGTTTAGAAAGAAAAGAATGAAGAAGAAAAGGAAAAATTATGCTTTCCTGAAGAGTTCAGAAAAATGGACAGACTTACAGAGACCTACATGACTGTGGCTGGTCTAGAAGTTCTGCAGAGAGCCGCAGCTAGTTCCAGGCAGGAAATATTCACTACCTTATTAACACACCAGGTATTCCGCCCACCTGTTTAGCATAACTTAAGGTGAACCTGCCTTCCTGGGAGTGGTGCTATCACCAGGTGATTGACCAGTGAGACTGGAAAAATAGATCCTCCAACAGATAGACTAGATAGACATTTTTCATAGTCTGGACCAGTTCAATTTATGGAGCTTATTGATACTGTAACACTTCCAACCCTAAACTAATCCCAACCAGTTCAGCAAAAGACAAAACAAAATCTCTTGCTCTCTCCTCCATGTCACAGAAACCTGTTGTCTCCAGCTTGGTATCCAGAGCCATGCATACAACCATTCTCATTTTGTACTCCAAAATTCTCCCAGATAAGGTGAAGTGAGGCTCCTTTTCGGTGTCTCACAAGATTTGGTTCTAAATTCTTCTCTGTCATCAAGCATTATATTTTCTTGCATGAATCTTGGTCTTTTTATGATTCCTTTTTCAGCTTGGATTATCCTTCTCTTTCATAATTCCCCAGAATACCCCCATTGCATTCCTCAGGTTTCCACTGTGTGTTAGCCAATTGCCCTCCAGGTTTGAGACAGGAACAGGTCTATAGGGTGCTTGGGTCCTGGCTGTAGGCCTCAGACTTCAGCTGTGTGTAGATTGACTAGCTTCCAGTATGGTTAAAGGAGGGTGGTAGGCACAAAAGGTGACCTTGGGATTCTCAGGGTCCTCAGTCACGATCCACCAAGCCAGGTAGGGCAGCAGTCTTTACCTGGGAATAATGGATTCGGACGTCTACGTCTGCAATTTTTAAGGCTGCGGGAATGGTTAAGAAGCACAAAGTAGAGTCCCTTTTAGGTGGGTTTGAGGGGTGCCTTATGCCATGGTCTGGAGGTCACTGTTCAGGAGCAGGAAAGTGGCTGGGCTTAGTGTTCTGACAGTCTCCAGGTGAACTCAGAGGTGTTTACAAAGAAAGCTATTGGTTCATTTGTGGGTTTATGAGTCAGTGGGACCCTCTATGGTCCATTAAGGCTGTTGACCTTGAGATTTAGAAATTTTCCTTTGGTTAATTTGTCAGCTTCCTTGGCTAAGAAAGCCATGGCTTACCAGGGCCCCTGGGTAAGGTCACCATCTAGATGCCACTGTGTCTAGCTGCTTGGACAGGTGTGCTACAGTCACTGCCAAGGTCCCACGTTCGTGGGTTAAGAATCCTAATTCCATTCCCTTTTTTTCAAGGACAAAGAGGTTAAATTCTTGGGTCCCTTCAGGAGGCCTAATGCCAGTGCTTCCAGCAGGGACTTCCTGAAAATCAGAAAGGTGTCTTGCTGTTGCTATCCCCATTTAAATGGATCCCTTTTTCCTCCCTTTGTGATTTCATAGAGGGGCTTAAGTATTCACATTGGAGAAGTCAGAAGCCCACAGAAACTCTCTGATCTGTCTCCAGGTATTTGGGACTGGATTTGCTTTCTCATTCAGGTTCCAAGACCCCAAGTCCTTTTGAGATACAGAACTCCAAGTATTTAACTTCTTTGGGGCAGATTTGCATCTTTTTTGATGCAAATCTATATCCAGCCCTCTGAAGCATATCTAGCAATGTCTCTGTTCCCCTAGTTCAGTCTTCCAAGGCCGTGCTTGCCAGGAGCAGATCATCCACACACTGCAGGAGTTCACACTTCATCTCTGTGATTGGGAAGTGCGCCGGGTCATCTGTCAGGGATTCCGAAAATATTGTGGAGAGGTTTTTAAGCATGTGGCAGCAATCAGATTCAACTCAATTGTTCCTTATAGTTTGCGGTAGGGTCTTCCCATTCAAAAGCAAATGAAGCATAATGTTGAACCCTTACCAGGTAGGCTCCAGGTGGCAATTTAACTCCTACAGGTGGGTGATTTGTGACCAGTGCTGATGGGTTCTTTTCACTACATATTCCAGGAAAGTGAGAGCTGTAAGTTTTTCAGGATAGAGACAGTGTGTATGATGGGCTGTGAGGAGATTCTCCATTCGTCCTCTTGTGATTGACAGGATCAGAGAGGTGGCTTTATGGGCCTCTGTAGTTTGTGGCAAGAGATATCATCAACAGAGAAGGTCATCTGTACCCCTAGTTTAGACAAGTCTCTTCATAGCAAGGGTACTAGTCACTCTTGGTGATAGAGGAATTCATGCTTCGCCTGATATCCTCCTAAGGCACAGCTGCAAAACTCACAGAAGGGATTTCTGATCAGGACCCCAGTGGCTTCTACTACCATTGTTGCCTTCCCTGACAGGGCCACCAGTCTGATAACCAAATATTCAGCACCAGTGTCTTCCATGAAGTCCACTAAATGGCCCCCAACTTTCATTTTGACCTTTGACACAGGGGGCCTGGTCTTGTGGAATCTGGTTTGTCTCAGTCAGAGTCACTCTGGTCAGCCCAGTGAAGCTGTTGATGAGGTGGAGGGAGCTCGTGATACAGAGTGCAGCCTTGCTTTGCTCCCTGCTCTATCCCCTTTTTATTGAGGCGCTCATTTTCTCAGCGTCTGATTTCCTTGCAGTGAGCACATTGATTCTTCTGTAAAGGAGTGCAAGGCTTGGGCTTATTTCCAAGCTGGTTCCATCTAGGCCTGGGGAGAGCTGCCTTTTGTTTCAGCCTCTTATCTTCCTTCCCTCTAGAAGCCAGTTCCCAATCCACAAATATTTTGTTGGTAATTTCCACTAGCTGGATACTGTTCATCCCTGCAAACCCTTCCCATTTCTGTAAATTTCTTGGGATGTCTCCTTGTGCCTGGCCCACAAAGGCTACAGTGACCATTTGCTGGTTTTAGGGGGCCTCAGGGTCAAAAGGAGTGAACAGATGGAAGGCTTCACATAACTGCTCATGAAAGTCAGAAGGGCTCTAATTTGACTTCTGGAGAATTTCAGTGGTCTTGGACATACTGATGGGCTTCTTAGCTCCCCGTTTCAGTCCTTCTGGTAGGGACTGTGGGGGGCTCCCCGGGCAAGTCCTATCACCTTCTGAATTGGGGTCCCACTCTGCTTTTGGGAGGGCATTTCTGACCCATGCTTCTGCATTCAATTCTTGTGGCAGGACATGAGTCGTTAAGCATTTGTGAGTCTTAATCATCATTCACCATCATCCCTCCATATTAGGGAGAGTTAGGAGGATTTGGTAGCTGTTGCTTCAGGTGGAAGATGTGTCTGACAAATAGATTCTACTGGGCTTATCATAGTCTGTGATTTCTCAGAGTATGAGAGGGTATGGTGTTTCAAATTAAGCAAGTCTGTGGTGAAGTGCTAGAAGTAGAAAATAGGTTGCCCTCTGTGCTTCTGTCTGGAACCACATGCTGGGGTCCTTTAGTCTCTTGGAGGGGGCATCTGGAGGGTGAGTAGCTGCTTCTGGGCTAAAAGGAACATCTCTTCACCTGCTCAAGCTCCTCAGTCTTGATGGGGGGAGGGGCTCTGTTTTAGGTGGAGAGACATAGTCCTTAAGCCCAGGGAAGATACTGATAGTGGAAGACTGTCTAGCAAAGGAGGGACTTGGCAGAGAAGCATAAGGAGGTGTTGGCATCAGGAACTCATCTGGAACTCCCTGGAGGATTAGAGGAGTCTTGGTGGAGCATTGGTTTGTAGTATTAATTATTATTATTATTATTATTATTATTATTATTATTATTATTGTCTTAGCCAGGAGAATTTTGTTCTGACCTGCTTGGTAGCACAGAACCAAATCTAAGAGGACTGGACTAGCATGATTTGTGGCTAAGCATCTTTATATGGGAAATGACTGGATATCCTTTGTCTCCAATTATCACCTTGGTACATTGACTTAACCTTAGTCATATTCAAAGTTCCTTTTGGGAAACTTTCAACATCAAAAGTTGGCCATTCTGTTTCACAGAGAGTTCTCAGTTTTCCTGATGTCATCTTAGTACCATAATCTCCTGAATATTTCTTCCTGAAATTTTTGCTCATATAATCCTTCTAGGACAGTGGGTTTTGAATAGTGTCCTCCCATGGTCCCTCCCACTGTGCCAGTGTCACAGAACAAAGACAAGGACCTTCACACAAGCACTGTCCCCAACAGAACTCAATTCGCTCCATCTGACCGTACCTCTCTAGGGAAATTAGACTCTGCTTGGGATATGGTAAGTTCATACATTATTCCCAAACTAGATCTGACTCGCATAGGGGGACTCGTCCTTACCAGCACACGTCTTTAATCCAGCCCTCAGGAGGCAGAGGCAGATGGAGTTTGGTGAGTTTGAGTCCAGCCTGGTCTATACAGCGAGTTCCAGGCCAGCTGAGGCTACAGGGAGACCCTATCTCAAATAAAACAAAACAAAACAAAACAAAATAAAATGTGAAACAAAATCATGTGATGTTGTCTTGATCAGTAACAGTTTAATGGAGAGAACAACTTTGTTTCATGGTGCTGAGTATATGCAGGTGTATTTTATTTTAGCTCCTTTAAAATGTACTTATCATTCTCATAAATTTATGCTCTATAAATGCAGCCTTCTGCCAACTAAGTCATTTTCTATGGCTATACAGATTGTGAACTGGTTTTGAACAGGGGATCTGGCCAAGGAGGGGGAAAAAGAGCTAAATTTCAAACTTGCACAGTGAGGCAAGGTACACTTCCTTGAAGGCACACTTGCTGTAGTGCACAAAGGGAAGCAGTGTGAATCAGCTAATACCTGAGCACAGTGTGCTTGAATCCCTGGGCTCCAATCTGCAGAATCTAGGTCAAGAGTTAGAGAAGATGGACAAATGCCACCTTTTTCCTTATGACTTGCTTTGTAGTACACAAGGGGAAGACATTCCAAAAAGAAATCAAGCAAAAACATTAGATTCCACTGAAATTCTTTCCTACACCGAGCACAAAGCTGTTGAGGTGTGGATTTCTGTTGAAAACGAGGAACCCAAGAGTAATGAAGAAGAAATATAGAAAAGGGCCAGAAAAGAGCCACAGACACCATGGTGGACAAGAAACTTTCTGGAAGGCTGGGAGGTACACACAATGAAGATTTGGGCACTTAGTGCATGTATGTAGTTTTAACCCAAGAACTCATGAAGTTCTGTAGGATTTTCTTCTTCTCTTTTCTCCCTCCCTCCCTCCTTCCCTCTCTCCTTTTCTCCCTTCCTCCCTCCCTCCCTCCCTCTTTCCTTCCTTCCTTTATGAAGAACTCTTCTGCAGGAAGGAAGTTCTTTCTCCAGCCTCTGTCCTGAAGCACTATGGCGCAAACAGGTAGAGCCTTCTCTCATCCAAATGACCTCTGCTTCCAAGGGATATTTTGTGTCCATGGAATCCCTGCTGTGGAGATATTGTTACCCATGCATCTCACATTGTTGTGGATAGCTCCTTGTGGTGGTTGGCTTTTGTTGTTAACTTCATTGGAATTAGAACCATGTAGGAGATCAGGGACTCATACTTCTGGATCTGTCCAGGTGGGCATTTCCAGAGAGGATTCACTGAAGGGGGAGTAGGGGGAATAGATCCTCCGTGAATGTGGGCATCACCATCTCCTGGACTAGAAGTCTCAATGCACTAAAAGGTGGAAAAGGAGAGAGCCCAAGAATACTGGGATTCTCTTTGTTTTCTAACTGTCCCTCATAAAGCTCTTCTGCCACATGCTACCACCACCATGATGGTAGCCAGGCAACCATGAACTGAGCCCTCTGAAGCCATGAGCCAAACTAAATGTGTCAGGTACTGTGGTCACAGCAATGAGATGTCTAATACAGTCACTGTGAGGCCTGGAGCTTCAGGAATGCTCCCCTTCCCCTGATGGTTGTACCAGCTAACATACATACCCACATACCTATGCACTAAAATGGACACTTTACTGGAACTGTGTCAGTTGTCACCTGAGGTATCTGAAAGTTCCTTAACATCTTTATAAAAGAAGAATACCCTATTATACTACTGAGATACACTGCATTAAAATGCTCAGCAGGTACCTGGGTGTCCTGAGGTTCCTTGAGATGTGGGGTCCCCTGGACTGTTCCAGTGGTTCTCACAGAGGGCCAGAAAAGAAACAACAAATGCAGACATCAGACCATGTTCAAACAACAGCAAAAAATTGTTTAATATTAGAAGTGTTGGCTTTCAATGATTTTTTAATATTCAACTCTTGGACCCAAATCATGCTTGCTGGGTTAGCTTTCAAAACTCAGAACAAATTGTCATCTAGTAACTTATAATGATCTCAGCTTGAGTGTGTTTCCTGCTGTTGGTTCACTTGGAATGTTCTGGGCTGTGTGTCAAGTGCATTCTCACTGTGTGACTGCCAGGAGGGAAAAATGCCCATTGTCTTGGCTATTGCTATTTTTATTTAAATTACAGTCCAGCTTTCAGAAATCTTAAGGGTTCTAAATGTGAAATGATGGGTAACGTAGTTTTTTTTTTAAAGATTGTTTTCCTTTTTAAAGAAGCAACACATGTTCATAAGAGCAAATTTTGAAGATGAAACTTGCAAAAGAGGAAAATTAATTCCACATAAACCTTCTACTTATTAAACATAATTGCTATGAACATTTTGGTAACTTTGTCATCTAGTCATATAGACAGATATGTAGTTAGCCAACAGACGAACAGGTTGAGTATATAGTTGCATGTGTATCAGTGCTTACATATAAACTAATGAATAAAATCTATCCACACATGAGTTGCTCTTCAAAGCTAAAGATAAGCACATGTGTGCATTGTCAGTATGTTGTGTGTGCACAGACACCAAGAATGCTATCAAGAGACATAAACATAGATATATTGAGTAGACCTCTGTGAATCTGTTTTCAAGCCTGAAATTTTTACATTTCCTTCCTATCTTACAATAATTTCCATCATTATCATTTTAATAACTTCAAAAACAAAATGATAAATGCAATGGCTAAAATAATATTTCATAGTTTAGAAAACAGATTTTTGACATTTTTGCTATAATTGGATAGTATAATGAGGTTGATCCCCGATCAATATTTGTATTTAGAGTGCCAGAAAAACATCTTTTGTTAAAAGGTTACTCAGTCATTTTGCTTTTAAGGACTTATTTCCAGAACATGAATTCCTGGATCAGAGAGTGCAGACACTTTGAGGGACTCCAGATAGATCCTAATAAACTGTTTTATGGATTTTGTTTCTAACGTTGGTTACTGTTCCCACCAGCATGCTTTTATTCCACTTCTCTACTCTCCAAGAAGCAAACATGAGAGTTCTCAAACAAGAGTTTCTATCTCTATTACGTATATCCATGTGAATAAAGGATACAAAGTAGGGTTTGAAATGTACCAAAGAGAGTGTCAAACCATTGCAGGCTCATTGTCTACTGAGATGTAAACCAGACATATTTCCAGAAAGAACTTTAATGTATGTTTCAAGCTTTTATCCTTCCCCAGGAAGTGGTAGCACCCTGCCAGAGGAGAAGGCTGCCCCTCCCTCGGTATAGACATGTCTTCCACACCACCCAAAGGGCATTGGGGGTATTGGTCTGAGTCAAGTACATTCAAGTCTACACAGAGAAGTCCCTCAAAAAGACTGGACTTCAAAAAGTGATCTTCCAAAGCCTGAACACTGTGACAGGAAGTCATCAGCAACCCAACTTGTAGAAAGCAAGAGCCACCCCACAAGCCAAGAAGCAGAGGGCAGGTTTAAAGGGAATAAATTCAGGCTTGGTGCTTGAGAGGCTAGCATGCCCAGGGAACAGTCTTGATTGACAGTTTGGGCCACATGAACATGAAAGGGTTGGGTGGTGTCCTGAGTAGCTACCTGGGCATATTGAGACATGGGGCTGTTGTGAGTCAAGAAGGCAGGGCTATGAGAACAGTAGCTTGGACTGGGAGTGATGTAAAGTGATCCAGGGGCCCTACAGCACAGTCAGTCTGTGAGCTTGGCAAGTACACACCTCTGGCAAGAGGAAAGCAGATCCAGAGAACACATCATTTGGAGTCAGAGGCATAGTCTCTATATAAGGATCCATCAGCATGAGAACCCAAGCTCAGGTTGCTGGTCTGAGATTTGCTCTGTGTACAACAGTGTGTCTTCCACACAGCCTTAACCAAAGGGTGTCCCTAAAAACCCAAGAAACATCCCCTTCCTCCTGCTTCCCTAATCTCTCTACATGTACCCTCAGTATTGGTTGAAGCTCAGGAAGAACACAGCAAGTTCATCAGGGAAACTGACAGTTGAATTTCTTATTGCATGAGACTGTCTTCCAAAAGATAGACCATGGACATCAGATGCCTTTTTCCCAAGCTTGGTTGCACCCACTTGCCTAGGATCATCACACCTAAACTTGTTGACTGGTACACTCCACAAGAAAGAAGGAGCAGGGAGGGTCAGCCAGTCACAGCTCCCAACGAACCAGTAGGTTCTCATTGTATGAGGTGGAGATACTAAGGGTAAGTGGAGGAAGCCATAGGGAGGCTCTCTCATCATTTTGTAGAGGTGTAGGGAAGTCAATGTCCATGCCTGGATGGAGACTTTCCAGTGCAGCCTTAGGGGGGAGCACCCACACTCCTGTAAGAGTAAACCTTCACACACTGTTCTATAAGTCCAATAAACTTGCTGGTTTCCCAGACTGCAGTCTGTTAAAATTATACCTCGGTTTGTAATAGGGCCCAAGGGAGGACAGGGCCGGATGTCACTTGTGTTCCCCAGAAGGAATTTTAGCTACACCTCTGCAGTCTCCTAGCTGTGACTAGCCCTACATGCAACCCCATTGACCTCAAAGACCAAATCACTGGTATAAGGGCTAAGAACCAGCTTGTCCTGACTACTGATGACCAGGGCTGGTCCACCTCTGTAGCATCAGTTCCTGAAGTTCACTGAGTTTCAGCCACCACAAAGTAGCTCCGAACTCATGACTCACTTAAGTGACCTGTTCCTAGAAATCATCATGTCTGTAACCCAGGAGCCTTTAGGATTACTCAGAGAGCCTCAAGGCAGAAGCAAGTGAGGAGGGGGAGGAACAGCACACCACAGCTTATACAAGAACCCTAACACTCATTCCCTCTTGTAAGCAGGAGCCTACAGAATGGGTAGTCACTATTCAAGAGGTGTGATGCCCTGGTGCCAAGAATAACGGCAATGTACAATACTTACAAATAATAAGGCAGTCTCTGAGTTATTGGCAGAAGAGCAAAAGTCTGTTTCCTACTTAAACCCTGACAGATTTGCCCCTGCCAAGGTGCTGGCACCCATACGAATCCAAAGCATATTCATTACTGGTACACTTTCCTCCTTGCTGGGTTCCCAGAGGAGGGTTGTGTTGACCACTAATGAGCTCTCCATGAGTGTGCTAGATAGCTTTAGTGTCAACTTGACACACCTGGGTTGAGGGAGCCTCAATTGGGGAATTGCCTCCATATGACTGGCCTGTGGCCATGTCTGTGGGCCATCTTCTTGATTGTTGAGTGATGTGGGAGGGCCCAGCCCACTGTGGGTGGTGCTACCCCTGGGAAGGTGGGCCTGTTGTTGCATAAGAAAGCAGGCCGAGCAGGGGCCAGGGAGCAAGCCAGTAAGCAGCGTTCGTTCCTCCATTGGCTGTGTTCCAGCTCCTGCCTCCAGGTTCCTGCCCTCAGTTCCTACCTTGGGCTCTGTGATGAACTGAGACCAGGAGAAGTAAGACAAATAAACCCTTTTCTCCCCAAGTTGGTAGTGGTCAGAGTGTTTTGCCACAGCAAAGGATAAAAAAGCTAGAACGATGAGTAAGCAAGTGGTGGCCAGTCCTGAGTATCTTTTATGTGGAGTGCGTAAGTCACTCCACAGGTTTTCCATGAGAGGAAACATTAGCTTTAGGACAACAGGAAGATCTGATCTCTGGTTATTCTGAGAAGAAACAGCAAAAAACATAGCATATGATCAGAAAATTTGTCTGACCTGGAAACCACATGCACCTGGACAGCTTCTTAGATGAGTGTCTGGGATGATAAGGAAACGAAAATTGTAGCAGAAAATCCAGAGAATGTTTATTTTTCTTGGTCTGGATTATGTCTCTCAGGATGTTTCCTGTTCCATCCATTTACTTGCAATTTTAGTAATTTCGTTTTTCCTTATGACTAAATAATATTCCATCTCCATCGTGTAAATACACCACATTTTCAGTATGCACTCATCAGTTGAAGAACATCTAGGTTGTTTCCATTTCCTGGCGGTTGTGAATAGAGCAGCAATGTACAAGGATGCACAGGTGTCTGTGTGGTGAGATACATAGTCTTTTGGGAATATGCCCAGCAGTGCTATAGCTGGATCATGTGATAGACTTATTTCTAGCCTTTGAGGAACCTCCACACTGATTTTCATAGTGGTTTCACTAGTTTACACACCAACAGTAAGTGTTCCCCTTACCTCGCATCCATACCAGCATTTGTTATCATTTGTTTTTTGACCTTAGCCATTCTGACTGGAGTGAGATGAAATCTCAAAGTAGTTGAATTTGCATTTCCCTGATGGCTAAGGATATTGAACATGTTTTAAAAAATATTTTCAGTCATTGCATTTCATCTTTTGAGAACTCTTTGTTAGTTCTTTGCTCTAAATTTTAACTGGGT